AAAAAAAAAAAAAAAAAAAAAATTTAAATAATTTGCATCCATAATAAAACCATCATCACATTTTCATCAAATGGTTTTAACTGATATATAAGAAAAAGAGAAAATGTATATAGAAAATTCAGAAAGAAGCAAAGGCTGAGGAAGTCTAAAAGCAATATAACCTTTCTCACAATTACTCTTCTATTTTTTTTCCATAGACAAATTAGATATATGAGTATATATACAAATTTTACGACCAGGCACAGTGGCTCACAGCTGTAATCCCAGCACTTCAGGAGGCTGAGACAGGCAGATCGCTTGAGCTTAGGGGTTCAAAACTAGGTTGGGCAACATGGCGAAACCCCTTTTCTACAAAAAATACAAAAATTAGCTGAGTGTAGTGGCATGTGCTTATAATCTCAGCTACTCAGGAGGCTGAAGTGGGAGGATCGCTTAAGCCCAGGAGGTCGAGGCTGCAGTGAGCCAGCCGTGTTCGCACCACTGCACTCTAACCTGAGCAACAAAGTGAGACCATGTCTCAAAAAAACAATAACAAAAGAATTTTATGTCCTATATATTTGTATATTTGTAGCTTAAATTATTGTGAGACTCAACTTCTCAGTATGATCTGCCTTGGAATCTTCCCTGGAAATATTGACTTGGGATCCTTACATAGTATGGTCAGCAACTGAACCCTAGGCACATTAATTTTTACCTTCCGTGGTCATATTTTTTTTCACACACTCCAATGTTGTATGAACCAGGTCCTTTGTAGTCTTCTTCTCAAGAAGCTGAGAATATTTTTGAAAGAAAACTGGAAAAGAGAATAAACCATTGTTTTTCCTGGTGGCATTATTACTTTGCTCCTTATGGTAACTTTCTTGTATTCTTTATTGAAACGAAACCTACAAATGCCCTATTACTTGAGTAGAGGGAAAAGATTTCCCATTTTGAAACTATAGATATCTCTAGGAATAGCTAAAAGATCAGTAGTTGGAAGAGGACACAACAGTTCCATCATAACGGATCTAAAGAGATTCCACATTCTCCTTTAACACTTAATGGAAGATGTATACAAAGGCTAACTCTTTGGAGGTAGGGGGATGGATGGCAGTAAACACTTGCATTGAAGGATGTGCACACCCTGGGACTTTGGGGCAGAGGGGAGAGGGGCAAACTAATTCTGAGGAGCTCTGGGTCACCTGAGAGGATGGAGAATTTACAAGAGGACACTATTTTCTTCCTCGTCTTTCCATTGCTCTCTCCATCCCAACTGGCTCATACTCCTCAGCACACCAACGCTCTCCTGTTTCTCTCAATTTAAAACGAATCCACCTCTCCCTCTAGAAACTGAGCTACTTCTCTTTCCTCCCTACCTTTCATTTGTTCCTTAACCAATCATATTCTGGGTTTTACTTCCACTGTTTCACTAGAACCATCCCCGAAATGGACCTTCAGTAATATCCTAGGGTTACTTAGTTATGTTCCTATTTGTCTTCCTTAAATGCTTGACCCCAGTTACCTCCCCACTTAGCTCTTGGGACATTACTCTTTGCTGTTTTGTCTTACCTTTCTTGCTGCTGCCTCTTACACTCTTTTATAAGCTCCTATTCCTCCATCCACCTCCTTTAAAATGTAACATTTCCCAGAGTTCCATCCTTATCCCTCTTTTTCATACTAAGTTCTCTCCCTGAGTGATATCATATATTCCCATGTCATCACCTACTACCTCTATGTGAAGGACTTCCAAAGCTCAGCCCTCTCTCCCTAAATCCAGACAAATGAGTCTCCCAGTGGACATGCCCATTTGAGGTTCTCACAGTCATATAAAACTCAACATGCCCAAAACTTAAATCACCATCTTCCAAACCCAAGCCTGCTACTGATTATATCAATTCCCTGCTTAAAATTCTTCAATTTTCTCCATGACTGTGACATGGCAAAAATGGCCATAACTTTCAACATTCCCTGTATCCACACTGCTTTACAATGTGATTTTGCAGCTTCTTCAATCAAGAAATGAGGTCTCTTTCTCCACCACCTGGATCTGGGCTGCCTGTAAAGGCTTCTTTTGGCCAACGGAATGTGCAGGAGCAACTCTGCGCTAGTTCCAAGGTGAGACTTCAAAAGGCCTTGTTTACTTTCGCTCTCAGTCTTAAAAGCCTGCCACTTGCCATGTGAACAAACCCAGGCTAGCCTGATGAATGATAAGAGAAATATGGCCAAATCTCTCCTGCCATTCCAGCCAACATCCTCTTCCTCAGAAGCCAAGTTGCCTGTGACCAGTACCTGACCACATATACATGAGTGAATTCAGCCAGGACTGGGGGAATCTCCCCACTGACACCAGACTAAATTGCTAAGCCACAGATTTATGAGCTAAATAAATAGTTGCTATTTTAATCCACTAAGTTTTAGATCAGCTTATTAGCCCGCAAAAGGTAATTGATAAAATAACCTTTAGGAGGGAAAATAATCTCAAACTCTTTATCATGATATACAGCATTCTTCATGAGCTGAGTCCTGTTTACTTCTGTCGCCTACAACTTCATTCCTTAGTTCCTAACACTGTATGTTCTATCATACTCATGTTTCAGTCCAGTCATGCATACATATGTTTCCCCAAATTCCATGCTGTCTCATATCTCTAGGTCACTCTTGGTACGCACAGCTCTAGATGTCACCTCCTCCAGGAAGCCTACCTCAGCCTCTTGCACTTATACTTCTTAGCTGTACAGTACTTACCATACAATGTTATAACCACTGGTTCATTTGACCATTCTCTAAATTTCTTGAGACAAGGGACTGTGGCTTTCTTGACTCTCTATCTGGCACAGGGCCTGACATCCAGTAGACAGACAATGAAATGACCAAAGAAATGAATGAAGAAGCTACCGACAGGTATACTGGTTTTTATGCCTTTAAAAAATTGGGGGCCAGGCGTGGTGGCTCACACCTCGAATCCCAGCACTTTAGGAGGCTGAGGCAGGCAGATTGCTTGAACCTAGGAGTTCAATACAAGCCCAGGAAACATGAGAAAATCCTGTCTCTACTAAAAATACAAAACAAATTAGCTGGGCATGGTGATGCACACCTGTAATCCCAGCTACTTGGGAGGCTGGGGTGGGAGAATCATTTGAACCCGGGAGGTGGAGGTTTCAGTGAGCCAAGATTGCACCACTGCGCCCAGCCTGGGTGACAGAACAGGGGGAAAACACCCAACAAGTGCTGAAAGCTGAAGATATGCAGCAATCCACCCAATTTGCTAAATTGGCTTTTAGATCCCACACAGTCTTGAGCAGAACAGAAATAATTAGAGTAAAAGTCAGTGGAGAACTCTCCCTGAAATATTTCTTCCCATCTCCTTCTTGTCTACCTGCTGATCCCAAAACATAAGCGTGCATTCAAATAAGAGTGGCCTGATAAATGCTACCAAGGAAATACAGATTTGGCCTCACTTACATAGTGTCTAGTATAGAGATGATGCCACATAGATTTCACTCTACAACACAAATACATACACCCACATTTACGCTTCAGTTTCTCTAATGAGGATGGATTCCACCATTTTTACAGGAAAGTAACTAAATCTAGAGCAAAATTCACAATGGACTTCCATGAATGATGTCTCCCCAGAGAAAATTCCATTCCAGATTTCTGAATAAACTCATTTTCAAATGTCAACTTTTAAAGGATACCCTCTCTTCATGGACGGCAGATATTGCTTATGGTTCAGTTGGCGTACTTACTGACAAAAGCAATAAAGAATGAGATTGCCATTAGCAGGAGAAGCATCAGCAGTGACGCGCAGGGCAGCTTGGGAAACCCACGATTACTTTTGTGAGGGGCAGTCCTTGCCTTGGAAGCTGAAGAAGAAGCCAAATTAGTTTTATCAGTAATAAATTCTGTCCTTACTTCCTCTTCTTCCTCCTCCTCTTTCTCTCCCTGTTCTTGGATGACACACAGTTACTAATGCTATGACATTTGAAATCATATGACACTAGGAATAGAAAGGATATAATCATATTCATTGTAGAAACTTTAGAAAATACATAAAAGTACCAATTCCTACAATTGAGGATAAGTGTTATGCCGTATGTTATAATATATCATATTTTGGTATATTTCTAGTAATTTTTTGAATGTATATATACCTATATGCAAATTTCCCCACGTCACTGACATACCATAAATACTGAGTTCCGACCTAGTATTTTCCTTTACTCTGTATCGTGAACATTTTTCATGCCATTATATTTTCTTCTTTAACACTCCTTATTATGGTTGCATAGTATTTCATCATATATTTAAATAATAGATTGTTTCCAACCTTAAATAATGCTCTAGCAAATCTTTATAATCGTCCTTCATCCCATCTTTAGAGAATAAGGTGAGTCTTTTTAGTTACCATCTCATGGTTAGGTATCACTTTCTTAAAGTTATGATATTTTGTCAAATGATGGGGTGAAAAACCTCAGTATTATATAATATGATTACATTTTTAGTAAAATATATATGCACATTATATGTATTTGTATGTGAAAGGATATTCACTAAAATGCAAATTTTGATTTTCTCTAGATGATGAGTAATTATAATTCAAATATCTGTGTACCGCTAGTTAATTTTTTCATAATGAACATTAATACTTATATAATAAAGAAATTATATAAAGTTTTTAAGGGGGAAAAAAATTTCCAAAGTGCTCTCCACACCTTCACGGAGGTATTTTAGATAGTACAAATATAGTCCTGACCTTTCCCCCCATAGTTTCTTACTCTGTATACATTGTTTTCTCTCTTTTGCTCTGTACTTGAGATATTACACATGACACCCAAATTACCTTGCATCTACTCCCAAATGTAACAGAGTCTGTCTCAGAGATGCAACATGCAATAGATTTTCTGATTTCAGAAAAAGTTTCCTGGAGATTTAAGAGACTTTCTTTGTGTAGACTTTCTAGTCTTTCATTTGCAATGGCCTTTTGTTTCATTTCCATCCAATACTAACAAATATACCCTCACCACTGTCCACCCAAACTCTTTCCCTCTAACTGATCAAAAAACAAATCTCACCAATTCATCAGGACCCCCTGCATCTGGGTTGATGGTTTCAGAAGCTTTACTCAATCTCTTAACCCCAGCCCCACTCAGCCTCAGAAAACGCAGGTGCATCAGAGCACTCCTTAGCTCAGAACTGGAGTTGATTTCTCTCACCTCTGTTTCGTATAGTAAGCAGAGTGGAGGCTAAAGAGAGTGGCAGAAAAATCTTTTCTTCCCCACAATACAAATGCACACCCTATCACGTGTATCTGTAGGCTACTCGATCTTCTGGGACTCTTGTGTTTCCCAGACATAATCAGAGAACCAGCAACTGACAACACCTATGCCTTATTCATAAACCCTCTCCTCATCCTTCATCTCAACATTCATTCTGACCCCCAGAAAATGATCTTTACCTGCAGAAGAGTTGATGCCTGAGGACTTGGATTCATTGTTGAAACTCACTTCAGCATAAGTGATTTCCGAAGTCATACTGGGAAGAGGTCTTCTGCTTTCTCCAGAAAATGTGTTTCAAATCTTCCTTAAAACATCTTATAAATAAGCACCAAACGTGGTAGTAAATTATCTACTTCCTTTTATTCAACTAGATGAGAGCAGAGGCACCACATAGGTACATGTCCTCGAGAGGGCTCTCATGGGAACTAAAAATCGCAGTAAAAACTGAAAACCTCAGTCCACAGAGAGCCTTTCCTCAGGACCGGTAGAGTGAGAATCACAGCCTTTAAACAACTGCAAGCAAATGTAATTAAAGTGGGAACCCAAAAGGTTGTGGAAAGAAATAGGAAGGAAAGAAAAGAGGAACCAAGCAATTAGAGAAGTCTTTCCTGAGAACTGCGTTCCTCACTGGTAAAAAATAGAATTTGCGTGTTTCCACATACAAATGTAACTACTTTGGATGAAAAAAACTGAACAAAGACTTGTTTATGTTGCGTTCATCTCATCATTTTTGGCTGATCAGGCAACTTTTGCTTGCAGTTGTTTAAAGGCTGTGATTCTCACTCTAGTGGTCCTGAGGAAAGGCTCTCTGTGGACTGAGGTTTTCAGTTTTTACTTGATTTTTAGTTCTCATGAGAGCCCTCTCGAGGACATGTGCCTATGTGGTGCCTCTGCTCTCATCTAGTTGAATAAAAGGAAGTCGATACCTTAATACCATGTTTGGTACCATTCTAAGAGTGTCATTGACACAAAACTCACAAGTCAACTTCCCCACCTTGAAGAGTCAGTTTCCTCTAGCGTGGTGGGGAAGGCAAAGTTTAAACCGCATGCCCTCCACACTCTCTGTGTTTCCTTATTGGTAACTAACTCTATCAAGGGTCTCCATTCATCTTGCTAGAACCTCCAGAACTCCAGAAAGCAGCTCCCTTTATTGGATGTTGGAAGAGAGGGAAGGCCAGCCTTTATTCCCGGCTTCCCTAACCTTTTAACCCCACACCACCTCCAATATATGACTATTTTTCAGCAGTTAGGATAAGTAACTAGAATTACATTACAGAGGGGGATAAACTTAATCAAAGTACTAAATATGACTTTTTCCAAAGGCCTAAAGGAAAACACTCCAAGTATTAAATCCTTCACGTGGAATCTCTCCATAGAGATGCTCTCCACTCACACCTGGATTCTCTGCCCTCAACTCTCCACAAATGATCCTCCTTTTCATCTCTCCCAGCTAATTCCTTCTCCTGCATAACACACGTGCACACATGCATGCACACACACAAACACACACCTCTATATTTCTGTATTATTTCTATATCTAAATACGCTGAACACCGTGAGTGCACATTAATTCCTCTAATTCCAATCTAACACCACAGGCTTCATTCTAATTTTCTCCCTTTCCACACTCCTAACTCCTTTCTGTGACAGTAAGAAACCTGCTTTACTGCCTTTCACTTATTCCTTATTTGCTCAATCTCCTGGATGCTGTCAGTCTCCACCTGCTAACATGCCCCTCTCTTCCTAGTTGAGCTCTGACTCCCCATTCCAAGTCGCCATTCCCTGCGCTGATGCCCCCCTCCTCACTCTGTTTGAGGGTGCTGGCAAAGGGCCAGCCCACACCCCACCCCCACGAACATCCCCCACAAGCATCCTTCTCACCCTGCCAAGGTTCTGACTCCCGGTGCTAGGCCACTCCTCCGCAGGAAAGCCCTCCTCACTCTGCTTACACTCTGATTCCTGATGCTGGTCCCCTAGTCACCACTTCGACCCCCGTAGGCGCTAACATTCCACACAAGGTCACCCCGTGGTGGAAGCACCCCTCACCGTGGAGGGGTCTGACTTCCACTACCACGTGGACCCCCTCCTTATCCTGCCAAGTTTCTGAAACCCACGGCAAGGCTGCCCTCTGCATAGATGCTTTCTTCATCCTGCTTACGCTCTGACACTCCATGAAGGTCCTCCCTCCCACAGCAGTCATTCCCATCTCACCCTACTTAGGATGTGAGTTCCCTCGCTGGGCTACCCCACCACATTGACACCCTCCTTGGTCTCTGAAACCCACCCCAGGTCTACCCTCTGCAAGGATGTGCCCTCTCTCCATCTTGCTTAAGGGCTGAGTCCCAACCCCCACTGGGCCAACACTAAGTGTGAGCGTCCTCCCCACCCCTCCCACATGCTGACGTCCATACCAGCCTCCCCTGGAGTACTCTGCTCACCCGTTTGCGACTCTGACTCCCTACAGAAGGTCACCTCATGCATGGATGCCCTCCTCACCCTGCTTGTGCTCCAACTCACTGCACCTGACTCTCCCACCACATAGATGCCTTCTTTACTTCTCAGGCTCCGACCTCTCATATCAGGCTTCCCGTACTGTAGATACCCTCCTCAATCTTCTTACCCTCTGATACCGTGCACCAGGCCATTGCCAGGAGTGGACATCTGCTTCTCCTGCACAGGCTCTGGTCCTCCATGCCAGAACACTTTCCCACCTCCACAGGGATCTTCTTCTCACTCTGCTTGGGCTCCAGCACCACCATCAAGCCAACAGCCTGCATGCTCACCCTTCTCACCCTGCGAAAGCCCTCACGCTGTGCCAGACCACTGCTGTTCTCCCAGCCACCCCACCATAGACTCCTACCTTGTTCTGCCTAAACTGCTACTGCTTCATTTAGAATCAAATTATGTAGTAAGAAATGGGAAAGGGGAATCACAAAGCATAAGGGAAGGATAAGGGAATTTTAAGCTCTCCACAATTAATTATTGGACCTAACTAGCACTGGCACAGACAGGTATACATGCACACATAGTCCCTGAAATAATGATCATTGATTCTCAGAGGCTTTGTAATCTAAGCTCATAATTAGAAAGCAAAACATATGCCTAAAATTATAGCTCTCTCCCTGGAATAAGTCACATTATAACTGGATTACACTGTATCACCAACAACCCCAAAATCCAAGTGGCTTACAACAACAAACAGGTATTCTCACTCACATGACACATGGACTTAGGGTCAGCTTGGAGTTGACTGCAACTCTGCTTGGTCCCTCTCCAAGTGTTTTCTCATTCTTGGAGCTGATATTTACAGAATAGCTCCCCGTAAGCTGAACCATGCAGCAGCATCCTTTATTCAGATAACGTGTACATTGTACTCACTGTGATTCTGTTGGCCAGTGCAAGTTACCTGGACAAACCTGTAAGCGAGACAGGGAAATGTACTTTGTCTACAGAAAGACATGTCAAGGGTATCAAAGTTTAATCCTTTCACAAAGGAGAACATAAACACTAGGAAACGATAATAGAATCTACCCCCTTATCCCTTTAAATTATTTATCCAAGACATCTCTTGGGCAGTGATCTCCAAAATGGGGCACAAGTACCTTAAGCAGGATAAAAGAGGATTTGCTAAGGCACAGAGATAAAACAGTAAAACATCTGTTTATATGTATTTAAAATTTTAAGGAAGGTAAGCTTTACTAATATTGATTGCATGCTGTAATCCCAGCAATTTGGGAGGCCAAGGTGAGTGGATCACCTGAGGCTAGGAGTTCAAAACCAGCCTGGCCAACATGATGAAACCATGTCTCTACTAAAAATACAAAAATTAGCCAGGTGTGGTGGTGGGTACCTATAATCCCAGCTACCTGGGAGACTGAGGGAGGAAAAATCTCTTGAACGCAGGAGACAGAGGTTGCAGTGAGCCAAGATCATGCCACTGCAC